CAAGGGACCAAAGGTTCCCACAGCTTTGCTCCAAGGTTGCCCCAAGGCCAAGGTTCCCACGGCTTTGCTCCAAGGTTCCCACAAGGTTTCCACAACTTTGCCCCTCAAGGTTCTTCCAAGGTTCCACAAGGGACCAAAGGTCCCCGCAACCTTGCTCCAAGGTCGCCCCAAGGTTCCCACAGCTTTGCTCCAAGGTTCCCACAAGGTTCCCACAACTTCGCTGCAAGGTTCCCAGAAGCTTCCCACAACTTTGTCCACTTTTTCAAGGTTCCTACACAAGGGTCCCACAACTTTTTTGCAAGGTAAGGTTCCCACAACTTTGCCCCACAAGGCTCCCAAGGTGCCCACAACATCGTTCCACAACTTTGCCCCACAAAGTTCTTCCAAGGTTCCCACAGCTTTGCTCCAAGGTTCCCACAACGTGGCCCCGAGGTTCCCACAAGGTTGGCGCAAGTTTCCCACAAGGTTCCCGCAAGGTTCCTAATCGACAGTCAAGGAAACCTCATCATACCTCAAGTCTATTTCATTGTGCTTCCTACTGTTACCTTTTGCCTTGCTAACCTTTTAGTATCCTATCCTCTTAGTTTACCTTGCTAACCTGAAGAAAAAGTGTTGCATTTTGCGCTTAAGCTGTTGGGGATATTCTTTGGGCTTATTTCGGAATGTTTGGAGCTGAGGAGGCTAGCGTGGACGAGTTTTTCTGAACCGGGAGGCTTAAACTAAGGAAAAATGCGGTCTCACTATAGAATGTTTAGGGGCTTCTGGCCTTACTACTAGGAGCAAGAAACTACTAAGAGCAAGGGCATCGCTACTAGGGGCTCCTGGCATCGCTACTAGGGAGCAAGGACGCTACTAGGGGCTCCTGGCCTTAGTACTACTATCAAGAAGCTACTAAGAGCAAGGGCATCCTAGGCGCTGGCATCGCTACTAGGGAGCGAGGACGCTACTAGGGGCTCCTGGCCTTGCTACTACTACTATCAAAAAGCTACTAAGAGCAAGGGCATCGCTACTAGGGGCTCCTGGCATCCCTACTAGGGAGCAAGGACGCTACTAGGGACTCCTGGCCTTACTACTACTATCAAGAAGCTACTAAGAGCAAGGGCATCACTACTAGGATCTCCCGGCATCGTTACTTGGGAGCAAGGACGCTACTAGGGGCTCCTGGCCTTACTACTACTATCAAGCAGCTACTAAGAGCAAGGGCGCTACTAGGGGCTCCTGGCCTTACTACTACTATCAAGAAGCTACTAAGAGCAAGGGCATCGCTACTAGAGGCTCCTGGCATCGCTCCTAGGGAGCAAGGACGCTACTAGGGGCTCCAGTATCCGCCGACCCCGGCCTATAGCCAAAGCCTAGGCGGGGAGGCGCCTGGGACACCGCAGGGTGAAGCAGTTGGCCAAGCCTAGCAGAACCCTTCCAAGCACTTCCAAAGGCCTGTCCGAGGCCTCGCCAGCTGGCAGGCCTGCTGCGGCCTCTCTGTGGCCTGTCCAAGGCCTGCCTCCTCTCTCGGCAGCTGGCAGGCCTGTTGCGGCCTCTCTGTGGCCTGTCCGAAGCCTGCCTCCTCTCTTCTTATGGGCTTCCGAAGGCGACGTTAGGCATTTTGGACCGCCTTCAAACGCTCCTCGGCAGCTGGCAGGCCTGTTGCGGCCTCTCTGTGGCCTGTCCGAAGCCTGCCTCCTCTCTTCTTATGGGCTTCCGAAGGCGACGTGAGGCATTTTGGACCGCCGCAGCACAAGCCTTGCTGGCTCAGCACCTGGGCTGTCCAACAAGGCCCCCGCAAACAGCCGCCAGTCTATTAGCACAGCCAGAACAGAGGCATTGCTACTATGCTTCTTGCTGCCTGTTGCTAGTGGTTTTTCTGATCTTGTGATGCTTCTGGGTCTTCTTCTTAGTGCTGCTGTGATTGCTGTTGTTGGTGTATACCTTTGTGGGCTTTAGCGCAGGCCACAGCTAGCCTGTCCGAGGCCACGCAGCCTTGGCGTGGCCTGAACTGCCACATACGATGCTAACCGCCGAGGCCACCCTCTT